CCTCATACTAGGTCAGATCAGTGTCTCAGTCAAATCTTAATACAAACGTGCATAAAATAGCTTCATAAACTGCGCCGCTGGCCTTCATGAAATTAGATTTAAATACAATAATTACTCAGGCTTACCGTATTTCGAGATGCAGCTCCTGAAAGCTATCAAGTAAGGCAAGGATCGCTTGAACCTTTATAATTCTCGTACGCATCCAGCAAGGTGAAAAACAAAAACGATGCCATCCGAAATCGGATTATCGGCTTTGACAAGCGACCCATTTCTCAACGAAAAACTCAATAAACAAACCAGCCATGAATAAGAGGACACTCTTGATAGCAGCTGTATTTCATTTTTTACATCCAGTGGAAAAAGACAGTTAAAAACATCACAAGTTAACTCAGAACTCTGTCAGCTTCAGCTGTCAAAGTAAACAACTTTCAAGATGCTGCATAAATTTTACGCATGAACTCACCTGTCAAATTTTAACCAATCAGAGCATAAAAATTGGACGTGGAGCGTGACCCACACGTGACCATGGTTAGAAAAGGTCTCACCCGCCTGTATTTTAAAAAAACTGGCTGAATTTTTGCGTCTGAGGTCAGTTTGAAATCAAAATCGTAATAGTGCGGGGCGATACTGACATAAACACAGCATATTTGATATGAATTTAAAAAAATAAGTAAACGTGAGCCTGCGATCATTTGAAAACGAATAAATTGTCAGCGGATAACTTCAAAAAAATACGCGACCTTGATGGGTCGACACCTGAGCCCGCAATACGGTCAGGTGATACTTGTCAGCGGATACCCTGTTTCGACAGCTGTCAATTGATGACAACATTGATGTGCAATCAGCTTTCTCCTGGGCTCCCAAAGAAGCTAGAAAGTGTGAGAGTTAACATTGGTATGCCTGTGGTGCGGACGGACGGGCAGCGGACGGGCGGGCGGGCGGGCGGGCGGTGTACGGTCACGTGATAACCAAATTTTCTGGGATGGGTAGATTTACTTACCCATGGTGCTCCGCAGGCGCGCTTCGCACGCCAGAGCTCCACTATAAGAGACCATTTGAATTACGTTTCTCTTCGCAGACGAGATTGAGTGTCTGCTGTGTCAGCCACATGGTCTTCAAATGCGACGAAATGTGTTTAAGTTCAGCTTTTTACCATCAAAACCTTTATTTTGCTGTAATTTTTCATTGAATTCCACCGCGAGCACTCCCCCTCCCGGAGGGTGGGAACTTTATCTTCTTTTATTTATCTACTTCTTTTTTACTGGAAAATTCTATAAAAATAAAGGAGTATTCACATGCAGTCATAGACTGTCTGTATTTGTGTGTGATGAAGTTCCCCAATTTACTTAAGTTCTAAAATTTTTGTTAATGTCTCCCCCTCTCTCTTTCTCTTTCTCTAAGATTTTTGTTACTGTCTCCCCACTCTCTTTCTCTTTCAGTGATAGCGATATCCGTCGGTTGTTCTAGCACTTTAGTGTTAGTGGTAATTGCAGTTCGCGTTGTAAAGATAATAAAAAAGAAACGACCTTCCAAGAGATAAGACCAACAGAGAAAGAAGGAGGAACAGGAGAACGCGACATTCATTTTATTGATAAGATCGACGTTTCGGATATTCACGTCAACACGGCTCCCCATAAACGTACCATCAGTTCAGTATAAAAGTGTTGACAATATATAGCAAAGGCAGAAGTATTGACTCATATTAGATATATGCCTCCTTGTAGCCGAGTTTATGTTCCGCGCTGCAAATTACGGACCAATTTATAAATCGAGGTGAAAGACGAGGATCCGTAATCTATGGCGTAGACCGAAAAAACGGGGCCAATAATATGTTCATACTAGTGTACCTAATATAATAGGTAAAAGAGTGCTGCCTACGAGAACTCTGTTTTACAAAATCGCAGAAGACTGTGACGTTAAGGGCAGTTGCTAGAGTAATGTGTCTTTGTGATGATTTTCTCTTTTTCGTTATGTTGTCATAAAGCGTTTTGATTACCTTTAAAGCGGCTTGAACTGATAATTGTTTATATCTTTTCTTCAGTGTATAGCAAAATATTATCCGAGATAGAAATGAACAAAATTGTTGTGGAAACGTAAACGAAATGCCTCGGTCCAGTTCGAAATTTCTTTTGATTAAAAAATTGTCGTTTCATTACTATTTTATTGTCTTTTCTTACTCCATAGTAAGAGCATAAAAAACGCACGGATATGTATACTTGAATCTCCGGGACTTGAATAAGGCGAATTTCAGAAGCCGCGGCGCCAAGTCCTTCTTCTTAATAGAGTACGTGAACTCAAAAATAACTTTCCATGTCTCAAAGCGCTCAGTACAGTCACTTGCACACAATATTGCAAAAACAGAGGTCGTTCGAGGCACAATATAATAAGAATATTAAGAGCGACGGTCAGGAAGTATCGATTACCTAGTGGCAAGAGTTGAAAAAATCGATTTCCTTCATTCCTTCAGCGTTTAGGTAGATAAGTAATCTGATGTAAGTTGTTCTCGCAAAAAGTATTTTGCTTTCGAGAAAAGTAAGAATATCAGTTTTCGTGGTGGGAGTCCCAAAATGGCCTTATTTTCAACCCGAAATTTGCTAACATCAAGTGAACTCTCCTCGCGTTCGCAAATAAAGCCGCAAGGAGAAATTTGGACACTTTCCATCAATAGAACAACTCTTCTTCTTTCACTACAAGATAGTTTCAAAGCAATATCAAGACTCGTTGAACTAACATAATTCAAAAACGAAGAACAGGTTTTTACGGTGACAAAAACTGTAATTTAGTAGTTGTTTTCTGCGGCATTATTCTTCATGTGGTATAGCTCCAAATTTCCCCACTCCTCGTTTATTCACACATCTAGACATTCAACTAAAGCAAACCTGAGAATTGGCTTGGATTCTTGAAGGCAGCCTCCAAACGAAAGCATCGAAGTCCGGTAAATATAGTAAATCTTGACAAAAATATTAAACTTATTTAACGGCTCCAAGTTTCCGAGATCGTAAAGTAACAAGACGAAATATCTTCCTGTCCTAATAATAATAATAATAATTAAAAATTTATAACGCGCCTTTTCCATGCAAATATGATCAAAAGCGCGTGACAAAACGCAAATGTTAAAAGAAAATAAAAACTAAAATGAGCAAAATAATTAAGGCTAAGAATAAACAACGCTAAAATTAAATAAAGATAAAAAAAACACTAAATATATTACATAAGAGGTTAAAAAAAACTACATATCAAAAGCTAGTCTAAAAAGATGCGTTTTAAGTAAAGATTTAAAACGTTCAAAATTGTCCTCAAGACGGATGTGAAGGGGCAGATTGTTGCATAAATTAGGGGCAGCAGATGAAAAAGCACGATCCCCTAAAGTCTTTTTCAGTTTTAAACTAGGATACTTTAAGATAAGACCGCTAGCTGAACGGACATTATAGCGCGGCTGTTCTTTAATAGCAATCAAATCGATCAAGTAACCAGGCGCATGACCGTAGATGGCTTTAAAAGTAAAAAGAAGTATTTTAAAATCAATACGAAATTTGACAGGAAGCCAATGTAACGAACATAGTCCTGGTGTTCTGTGACTGTACCGAGGGACATTAGATATAAGCCGAGCAGCTGCATTCTGCAAGCGTTGCAGTTTTAGTAGATGAACAGAGGGTAAACAAAATAGAAGGCTGTCGCAGTAATCTATACGACCGATGATAAAAGCATGGACCAAAGTTCGTGCAGACTCCTGGGACAGATATTTTCGGATACGCCGAATATTGTATAAATGGAAAAACCCAGATTTACAAGTTTTGTGGATCTGTTCCTGGAGATTCAAGTTAGAATCGAACCATGTCCCTAAATTTCTTGCCACAGTGACAGGAACAACGTTAATGCTTCCTGCGGTAAGGCAATCAATATTTACTTTGGAAAGTTGTTGTTTTGTACCAATCAACATGAACTCAGTTTTGTCATCATTAAGTTTGAGCTTATCCGTAAGCATCCACGTACGAATGTCCGATATACAGCGTTCCATAGCAATGACCGCATCAGTCTGATTAGTAGCCGTGTCAGGACTAAATGACAGGGAAAGCTGAGTGTCATCAGCATAGGTATGTGCTTCAGGTAGATGGCATTTAATGACTTCAAACTGTTTGCTGGAATAAATGGTAAACAACAGTGGCCCCAGACACGATCCTTGTGGAACGCCATAAGGAAGCTTAAAACTGTCAGATGTAAAGCCATTTAGGGAGACTCGTTGCGACCTGTTGTTAATATAAGATGTAAACCAATTAAGGGCGGTACCATTAATGCCGATACTTGACTTAAGACGAGCAAGCGGGATATTGTGGTCAACAGTGTCAAACGCTGCGCTCAAATCTAGGAAAATTAGAAGAGTTACATGCTTGCAATTCATATTCATGAGAATGTCACTTTGTACCTTCAGTAGCGCTGTTTCTGTGCTGTGACCCTTTCGGTAAGCGGATTGCGAGGTTGGATACAGGGCGAATCAACTCATATAACTGTGAATTTGGTCGAAAACAGCGCGCTCTGTCAATTTTGATATAAATTCCAAGTTACTGACAGGGCGAAGGTTATTCAACTGCGTCGGGTCTAAGCCAGGTTTCTTAAGGATCGGAGTAGCCAGAACTTCTTTCCATTCCTCAGAGAAATGGCCGCATGATAGCGAAAGATTTATAATTCGTGAAATAACAGGCAACAGCACGTCAAGGCAGCCAACAACCAGAGAAGTTGGCATCGGGTCCAACGGGCAGGACTTCTTAGCAGACTTACGGATGAGCGCAGAGACGTCGTTTTCCGAGAGTGGTTGAAAGGAACGAAAAGCATGCGCATCATCTACTTCCTGATCAGCAGGAAGCGCATTGCGCGCGCTTGGATCGATGTCTACAGCATCAATATCAAAACGAATTCTATCTATCTTTCGAACGAAAAAACCGCCGATTTCATTAGCTAATTTTGATTTGTTCTGATAATTAGGAAACGAAAACTCCTCTTTCTTAGCAAGAAAGGGCGAGAGTATTATTATTCAGAGTAGCTCTGAATAATCTTTTATGGTCTGTGCTGTTCTCATCAATAAAGTTAGTGTAAAATGCCTGCCTGGCCTGGTTCATGAGGTACGTCACGCGATTTCTGTAAGAATTGAAAATATTCAAGTCCGACACAGATGTCGTTCTCCTCTAGGCTCTCTCAGCCTTACGTCCCAAGCGTTTAGCGGCCTTTATCTCGTCGTTGTACCAAGGTACTGCACGTCTAACTTTCACAGTCTTAGTCTTAAGTGGGGCGTGACAATCAGTGACTTAGGAAAGTGTAGTGTTGTATCTGCGTACAAGAGCATCCAGGTCACGTGGATCTTCAGAGTGACGATGCACTCGCAGATCCGGTGGATCACTGCATAACAAGGAGTCAGATAAGTCCCGCTTAAGAGATTCAAGATCGACGGATTTCAGCTTTCTGTAGACAACGTTCTTAGTAGTCATGCAAGGTCAGTCGGACTGAAGTGTACAATAAACAGATGCGTGGTCAGAGATAAAGCGATCAACTACAGGGACCTTATTTAAGATGTCATCGCTAGAACGGGTGATAACGAGATCAAGTGTATGACCCTGAATTTGCGTAGGCTCAGTGATGTGTTGCTGGAGGCCAACAGACTGTAAAAGATCTAGTAGTTTGAGTGAGTCAGGATCATGGGGGACATCGACGTGGATATTACAGTCACCAGCAATCACAAGATGCTCTTTGGAGAGAAGTATGGATTCTAGGTAGGTAGAGAACTCCATGAAGAAATCGTTAGTTGAGACTCTGTGATCAGCTGAATAAGGTGGACGATAAAGAAGGACAAGCCGAAGATTGAGTGAAGGTGATGAGATTGTCCATTCGGAGTATTCAAAGGATTCTTTCTCGCCAGCATCAATCCTTCTTACAGATAGCGAGTCACGGTATATCAAGGCCACTCCGCCACCACGACGACCAGTACGTGGGCGATCAGAAATTTTGTATCCGACCGGGCACAATTCAGCTCGCACAGCAGCGTCGTCAGTGGACAGCTAAGTCTCAGTGATCGCAACAAGGTCAGCCTTGCAGTCGCATATATAATCAAAAAGGTCAGCGGTCTTATTTTTAACAGAACGAGCATTTAGCAAGCACAGCGACAAGTGTTTGTCTGCAACAATCGGTGCCAAGGCAGAATAAAGACGAACGCTAATTAAATTGCTGATATTCCGCGACCAAGATGACAGTTGAGTTTCATGGTTATGACTACTGCGAGTTGAAACAATCACCGGGGTTCCTTTGGGTCCAAGCTGGTCCAGGATTCAATTTAAATACCAAATCACCAATTAGCAATGGATGGAACGATGCCAATGTGTTGGAATAATATGCACAAGGACATCTGTAACGCCTGATCCTGGGCCGTCTGAAGAATATAGGATAATTAGCCGGTATATACACCAAACAAGCATTGCTATGATAAGAAGGTGCGATGGTGTTGTTCCAACACCAACAAGACAATGGGTAATCAACAGCAATTCCGTAAGCATTGTTCACAGGCTGGGCCAAGCAACGTAGATTTGTCAGAGTCGGCAATGTAGAGCAAGGTAAAACCGGTTTTTTTTCTCCGAATTGCTTGAATCAAAACTCGAAATAACTCCTGCAGAGGCACCGAACTGTGACGAGTTGCTTTAGATATTCTCCATCAGGATAAAGACACCGAAGGGGTAGTAGAAAGAGCAAAAAACCGCAGATGGAAACAACACGTCCGCCCTTCATTATATATTCAGCGAATTACCATTGTTAAGGTCCTTATTTTTCGANAGGTGCGATGGTGTTGTTCCAACACCAACAAGACAATGGGTAATCAACAGCAATTCCGTAAGCATTGTTCACAGGCTGGGCCAAGCAACGTAGATTTGTCAGAGTCGGCAATGTAGAGCAAGGTAAAACCGGTTTTTTTTCTCCGAATTGCTTGAATCAAAACTCGAAATAACTCCTGCAGAGGCACCGAACTGTGACGAGTTGCTTTAGATATTCTCCATCAGGATAAAGACACCGAAGGGGTAGTAGAAAGAGCAAAAAACCGCAGATGGAAACAACACGTCCGCCCTTCATTATATATTCAGCGAATTACCATTGTTAAGGTCCTTATTTTTCGATAAAAAGTGAGTACCAGAATGCTAGCGCGTTTGCTTTTTTCTTCTTCAAAATACCGGTCGTACTGCCGGCATCGAAAATGTTGCTCCTTCAAGAATTGTGTTGTGTTACTACGCCGTGATCCGTGACTGTCATTTTGACGTCTCCGTCTCTTCAAACGTACGTTAAGCCACATGCAGTCACGGAACAGATTGTCACGCAGAGTTGAGGCTGGTAGAGTTCACTGTTTCAAAATGGCTCAAATTGACCCAGTTTCACCTTTTTACCTCACTCTTTGATTGAAAAAAGGAACTTTACAATTGGAAAACGTACAAGAAGTACAAAAAACGAGCCTTTAGGCTGTAAATATCT